GACAAAAAAAGAAAATACCCNTGTCAATTCTCGTTAAGGATTGTTTCTATGTCAAGTTACAAGTCGAAATTCAACATTCAGTTGTCCTGGTGTTTCTGAGGAGGACCACTGCATTGTATTGAAAAATACCATAAAAATACAATATGTCAGCAGCAATAAATTGTGGACTCGAACTCTTTTTCAGGGTATTCATAATCTATTAAGGTCTTCATGATAATAATAGTTTCAGTTTAAAAGTGATTGATCAGTTGGGAAACTTCCTTCGTTAGTATTTTTAATTAAACCTAAAAGAAAAAGAAAGATCTCATTCATTACTATTTCTCGTATTTATCCTTTAAACTTCTTCAATAACAAATAAAAATCTGAAGCTTCTATTTTTTTCTTAGTGAGAAAATCCTTTAATCTTTATCGATATCTTCTATATTGTATTGCGCATACAAAACGAAAACATTATGTGGTTTATCAACTGTATAGCTTTTCAAAATTTATTTACATTCATTGTTTTCTTTAGACCTATATACATATACTATTCTCTTTTTCTTAAGTTAATTCACTGTAATCTTTAAATTTCATCTATTCGAAATCTTGTCCAATGAAAAAGATCTCGATTTAATAAACTATTTTTTTAATTGTAGCCTATGAAGATAATAGTTCTTCAACAACACTTAATCACATATCAACATCATTAGATTGTAATAATAGTGATGAATCTGATGAAGATGAAAATGATGATAATGATAATGACAATGATGATGATGATGATGGTAGTTCTGGTGATGATGAAACAATAAGTGATGATGAATCACATCATGTTAATTCATCAACAACACCTTGTACAATAATACAACGACGTCATAGTGATACAATTCATACATCCTATGGTACACCAATTGTTAAACGTCGTTGTACATATTCATCAATGCATGATGATGAACAAAAACGTTCTGTACTTGTTGAGTCTTATAGAAAATTACGTGGTGTTAAAAAACCAAAATTACAAGTTAGTTTATTAATATGTAATTTAATAAAACGATTAGAAAAAACATTTACAAAAACTCCTCCACTAAGACAACAACAACAACAGCAAGAACAACAACAAGAACATGTACAGTATTATCAACATCATCGAACAACTTATCGTTCATCATCGTCAGATAGTATTTATATGTCACCATTATCATCAACACTAGTAAATGATGAAATAGAAGCAACAAATCAACAGTATTCGTCTTCACATTCATCGAATTATGATTCGGATAAAGTATTATTACCAGTCAACGATTTACGATCAACATCATCAATGTATCATCCATCATCAACTGATGCATATTGGCTTGCTCAATCAAATTTTGCAGTACCTGTTGTATCAATATCAGATGATGATGATGTTGATGTATCATTACATGGTGGTGGTGATTATCTTGATTTAAGTGACAATACATTGTCGTCTTCCTTTTCATCATGTTCGTCTTCATCATCATCTTCTTCATCAAATGATTGTTGCTGTTCATCAACATCTTCACCAACAATAACTAAACTTCTTGTTGATAATAATAATAATAACAATAATAATAATAATGATGGTTATTTTATTTATCATCATCATCACCATCATCATCATACATCATCAACAACCGGACAAACATTTTTTTATCCTCATAATGGAAATAATACCGTTGATATAATAACAACAGCCTGACATCATGTTCTTACTCTATTCGTATCTATTTGTTGTGCATCTATTTCTTATCTATTTATTTTTTTGCCATTGTCAAATGATAAATCTTCTTCTTCTTCTTCTTCTTCTTCTTCTTTCTTCGTCATTGCAAATTAAAAAAAAAAACAAACTAAGATACATGTTTTATATTGCATGTGTATGCGTGTAAGACAAGAGTATTGTCTGTGGTATGGAAAGTTTTCTTTTTTCGTATATGAAACTTCTGTTTTCTTTTTATTTGTTGATGTTGTTGTTTGTTCACTTCTTTTTTTTTCAATTTGTGCCTCTGGGTTTTGTTTCTCTTTTTTTTGTTTTACAAATTCTCTTGAACTTCTTTTTTTTTTCTATGAAATTTCATGATGATGTTGAAAGGAGAAGAATGCGAAAAAAAAACAAATTAGTTAAATATTAAAAAGACTTTGAAAAGATTGAAAAATACTTGAGAAAATTGCTGCGATATAAATATTCATATCCGATAAGTTCGTATTTGTCTCAAACTTTTAATTGAGTTAGAAAGAAACAGTTGATTGAGGGTTCTTATCAAAATTGTACGAGTGCCTTTGATAATATGGCTTTGTATACTGTGTATATTCTTACCACTCTTGAAATTATCTATGTCTTTCGTTTATATTGTACAATCACATTCAATTGAGATCCTTCTTCACCTCGAAAACTGATTCTGTATCAGGTATATTCAAATCGTATGACATTTTAAGACCCTGTTGAAGCTACAGTGAAGAGAGAGAAAGAGAGAATGGTAAAATTTTCGGCTCTAGATCATCATGTTTGAGAGAGATATTCATCAAACAAGGATTAAAAATAACCCATATAGCAACCTAAGATTCTCTATAGATCCTCATTCCATTTATATTTAACTAATTTTTTGTTTGAGAGAGCATGCCAAGATGTAGGGCATAATGGCCTTTTTTTTTAAATCCTCACTATTTATTCAAGGGAAAAGAGTGACAATGTTGAACACTGAAAAAGAACTGTAAAAAGGAAAAGCTATTTATAGAAGTACTTGTAAAAATAAAAAAATACGAATCTTAATTAAAAATAAGGGAGTCTGTTATATTCTACATCTTGACATGCTCTTTCAAATTAAGCAAAAAAGTAATTAACAACAACGTATCTTTCTGTGAGAATTCTGAGATCGACAATGAACAAAAAACAAAATATAAACAGAAAGATTGAAAAAGATTTTTTTATATAGACATCTTATAAGGTTTTAGTACTTCAAACTTTTCTTGATATCTAACGGCTAGTTAATTTCTCTTGAACGTGGAAAAAGTTTTTTCTTCTTTGAAGATTAATATACCTTGCTAAGCCACTTTTACAATCAATAAAAATCCCTATTTCCTCATATCAACATCACAAAATCCATGTTTGTGAGGAATAAATATGTTTTTCCTTGGAGAAAATGGCAGAAATCCTCGAAAATTATATTAAAAACAAGCGGCCAAACAACGAATTTTTTTAATTATGGAAGATTAGATAGTAGATCATCGTTTCACGCATTTAACTTACTATTGACTTTTTGATTAAAAAAAGGAAAATTCTATTTAGAAATAGATTACTAAAATAAATGCCTACTTGTGATAGAAAACGAAAGTTCTCGAGAAAAAAAAGTTATTGAATTTTCTAATCTATTAAATAAGAATTATTGCTGACTGTCCAAAAGTATAATGACCGTAGTCTTTTTTTGAATATCTTTCGTTAGGAAAAGATAGAGACATGTGGTTTTCATCATTCAAAAGAAGACTATCATGGAGCATTGAAGCATTTCAAATATACTAGTCCAAAAATCGATCAATCAGCTGTGATCTCGATAGAAACTTTGAAAAAAACAATATTCAGAATGAAGTTTTCATATGATTTTGCATTTTGGCAAGACGATTGGATATGAAAACAAAGTGTGTACTCGTTTGATATATGGAAAAATTGACACTTCTATCTTGCTTCGCTCAAGAGTCAGTACAGTTTTCTTGAGAGTACTAGTTCCGCCCAATCAACCTGAGATCATCAGAAAAATAGTCGTGAAGAAAGATCATTAATCACACTGAGATAGTTTTTTTATTTCAAAGCAATTTGAAACGAATTTTTCAAAATCCGGAGGTATTGACTTTCAATGTTATATGCCAAGTAAATTAGAAATTCGGAAAATCTTTCTAGTGCTTTAGAGTCGCTTTGAAGCAAAAACCAAACAATAGTACTCGACTACAGTTGGAATCGATCTGAATTTCTCATAACCGATATCGTTTTGAATAAGCCAGAGTAGACCGAACAGACTGGTAACCGGTACTAGTTCTATCTCTGCAGTAGATTCAGCATGATTAATAACCTATGTTCATGGCTATTTTCTGGGTAATACCAGTTCGATTAACCGAAATTAGTGATCGCCCGAAAATTTTTTTAATCGTTGAGTGAAATGAGAATGAGACGTCGTTTTTGCGTAAATTGAATGAAAAATGCCTTTAGAATATTTGCGTTTCAAAATAGCTATCGAGATTTGTCCTGATTAGTTGATCACTGAACTAGTAAATATGATGTGCTTCTAAGCCCTCGGTGTCTTATTTTGAATAAGGAAAACCGCAAGTCTTTATCTTTTTTTCTAGCGAAAATTATTCAAAAAATAGCTACGGTCATTACATTTTTTGACAAGCTTCTATAGTACTTTATCCTATTTTGTATGAGAACTGAAATTGTCATAAACGACGTATTCGACCTAGGAGTTTCAAGAATACATACAACGAGAAAAAGAATATTATTTACTAGACTAATACAACTGTTGTGCTTTGGAGATTGAATTGAATTAATTCTACGGAATCCAGGAAAATTTCATGTGTTTATTAAAATGCTACGCTTTATTTGGAAATAAAATTCAAAATGGAACTTTTTTGCCCGATGAATCATTAATAATTTTTAATCGACTCAAAGCGCCCCCGAGCCTATGGCATAAGCCATTGGACAATGTGTCGGAAGCTTATTGACAGAGTTTCGTTTTTCTTTCTTTCTCATTCTATTCATTGCCTTCCGTTTGTCACTCGTTTGTATATTCGTCTACATAGAAAAAGAAATGTAGGACGAAAAAAAGCCGGCTACTTATCAACAACCAAATAGTAGTTAAAATCGAAGAAATTGTTGTATCGACGCAGATATTTGATATTATGTTTGTTATGAGCTTACTTTGATTTGAAAGTTAAGCCATAAATACCAAACTGATATATCTTTAGGTATCTTGTTCTGTAGATGAGCCATTCTTAAAAATGTAATTTTATAGGAAATGGCCACAAGATCAAATCACGTGTCTTCACTTAAATCAAATGAAATTCCAGCCCATCTAAAATCTGGTACATTTGCATTGAAATGGCCTGAAGAAATAAAAAAGTCTCCAGTAATAGTTAAATAAATGTTTATACAAGTAAATCTGTATATTTTTCTTAGACTCCTATCGTCGTCAATTTATCAATTGATACAAAAGGTTTTTACCTAATTTGCTTGAATAAAGTGAAAAAAGTATGTCTATGTGAATCTATAGAAAGACAACGATTCTTTTGTTTATTCTTTTAAGGAAATCGAATGTTTTGATCTTGCATTAATTCATGATACTCGTACAGGTTCACAAGTAAAACTTCCTCAAGTAAAATAAATCGTTTTGAAAAAAAAAAAAAAAAAACAAAGAATTTTTGTATACATTGATATTGTTAGGGCTATGAATATTTTCAAAAAAACAATATTGGTGATCTTGATGTTTCAATTGCATCGAAATGGCTTACGATTTATTATGGAAATACATATGTGGCTACAGAATTGCGTTTAATTCATTTTTATTTTGAAAGATCAAGTACTGCTGAAGTATTAGACGATTTAATAAATAATTTATATATTTTATTGGATTTTTCTATTGAATAGGAATGGACTGAACGATTATTTCAATTTGGACATAATCAAATTTTAAGAAATTTATCTAGTTTAGATTGTCTTGAAAAATTGCATTCCAGAATTATTAATGGTTTAATCGATTCAGATAAGAAAACGATTTCTGTTAGAAGGTATTACTTTTTTATATGTTATTTTAATTTTTTTAAATATTTTTTAGATTAATTCAATTTTTATGTAAAAATACTCGTGATGGTAGTAAAGAAAGAGCAATACTTCAAGCATTGAACTACTTAAAATTACCATGTCAAATGGTAAGTAAAGAAAATTATCAAATAAATTTATTTAAATTAAACAACATATACATGTATTAGGATTCTGTGATTAATCCAGCTGAATTTACTTTCAATATTTTTTTTCGTCTTTACATGCAACTGATGGAATGTCATGAAATTGATAAATTATTCGAATCAATGTAAGAATCTAGCTTTTATTTTTATAGGACAGTCAGATCTATAACCAATATAAACTGACGAGGAGAGTTCTCCATCTGATTAATTGCTTTTGAGTCGCGACAATGTGCATTATGTAGAATTTAAGGAACTAGACATACTCTGAAAAAAAGTTTCAGTCCTCAGTTTATTACTATGGACATATTGCATTATTAAAGTGATTATTAAATCGTTGTAGTGATTTTCTTTAGAAAAATCGAAACAACTGATTTTCGAGTTTCAACTTAAAATGTTGCATCAAAAAAGGTCTTAACAAGAATTGTTTGTTGTCAAAATTTCAAATTTTTTCCTTATTTCTATCTTAAAATACAGCTATTTCTACGTGCATCCAAAATAACAAAAAAAGCATATAAATGATTATTTTCTAGATTATAATACAAAAATTTTCATATTTTTCTTTCTCTAACAGACATCAAAATCATTCCATTAATTTGTTATTGTACTCTCATTTTCATTTCATGAATCCAGTTATTTCAACAATAATTAAACGAACTATATCGTTTTCATTACTTTGACATTATTTTCCTTTCTTGATTTTGGTTATTTCAAAGAATTGAAATTATTGTATCAGTTTTGTTTGTTTTTTTTTGCATCATTTTCCTTTCATTATTTTGATTACTTTCTAAAACGAAAAATTATTGCATTGGTTTCATTATTTCATTGCATAATTTTAATAATTTCGAAAGAACTAGAATCATCACATTGCTTTGATTACTTTCACATCATTTTCGTTTCATGATTTCGATTAACTCGTAAAAGATAAATCAATAGATTAATTTTATTGCTTTTACATTTGAAACACTTATTTTCGATTGTTTTTCAAATCATACAAAAGTTGTATCATTTTGCTAAAGAAAAAAAAGGGTTTTAATCAGTGACGTTGGTGAGAAAAACATCATGTGGTGTCATGAGTTTGTTTTTGAAAATAAATGATGAAAATAACTAATTTGAATCTTTTCTAGAAATTTGCTCTAATTCATATCACTTTATTAACAAACGAAATCTATTAAAACAAAATCCATGTTGTGACCTACTTTTTCTAAAATTTGTGAAGTATTTTTAATACTAGTCGCAATTTGCTACTTTATGTGACGATACAGTAAAATAAACTTTTGAAAAGTTCACTACAGAGTCTCTCAAAAGGCAATCAGTCCTGGCTTGTAAGGTGCACCAAGGGCAAAAAAGGAGCACTTTTTATTTTTCAAGCTTTTTTACATCATCTGATAGAGCTCGCGATGCTGATTCCGAATATGTGCTTTTTAGTTTTTTCGGAACAAATTTTGTGTGAAAAATCTTTGAAATACTAGTTGAGACAAAAAAGTAGAAAATTTTACTGTTTATGAAAGAAAATAAGATTTTACCGATTTGTCGGCACTTTGGTTTTTTAAAACCAATTTATTTGGATTCAGCATCAAATTTTGATCATAACTAAGTATATTTGGTTTGATTTAATTTAATTTGATGACAGTTCAGTCGGTAGACAAAATTGACTGAGGTCCCCTAGGCCCACGCCAACCACCCAATCTTGCAAACCTATCTAGTTTTTTGTTTTAATAGATAGAATTTTCATTTGCATATTATTCGAACCACCAGGTGACAGGAAAAAAATTTGAGTATTCCTGCTTTTCAGTTCTTCTTCAATGCTGAGAAAATAATGATTTTGGGCAGCAGTCGCAAAGTATTGAAAAATGCACTCGTGTTTTAAGGTTTTAAGCATCAAACGCTCATAGGAAAACAAAATGCATATGATATTCAGAATCAGCATAAAAAACTGAGTCGAATACCATAATTTTCATATGAAAACAGTTTTTGTGAAAATCCGATCTGAGGGGTACCTCAGGTAAAATTATTATGAAAAAGAGCTGAGGGGGAGTACGGGGAAAATNACTAAGTTTGAGTGCATAGACCATGTAGTGCCAGCCTTTTGTAATGTTTCTGGTTCACTAATTGTAACAACATCACCTTGTTCAATATCGGAATTTGATGAATCAAAATCTTCTGATATATGTTCACTATCAGATGTATCATCTGATTCAGTAGCAACAAAATCATATTCACGATCCGAATCAGAACCTTGATTATCACTAAAATCATCATTAATTTTATTTTCATCTGCCAATGGAATGTTTCAAATTCGTTTTAAATTTGACTTATGCGTTGCGTTCATGCTATAAGAACAGAAAAGTGTGAAAATGTACGTTTGGTAGTTTAATTCTCTTACATTTTTAAAAAGGTTTTAACAAATTCACGCAATCGAAATAAACAGACAAAAATAGTAGAATGCAGAAATGTGATTTTGATCTGAAAATATTCACGAATTTCACATTATATAGAGAAAATATGAATCATTAACATTAATAATGAATGTACAAACGAATCACATAACAAATCTATTCGAAAAAACAATTGCAAGATAACAGATGGTAGCTTTAGCAAGACAAAAAATGATGTTGATAACACCATTGGTGTTCTAGGGTCTACGTGAACCCACCACTATATTTTTACCTCCCAAGGACTATTCCTAATTTCTGGTAGGAATATTATGGGCCTACTAAAGAGTAGAGATTACCAAAGGGGAATGATCCGAAGCAGCAAACACTGATGGAGTCCTAGATAAAAAATTGTAACATGAGTCCGAGCGGATCACATAACAGCAACGAAGGGTTAAATAGAAAGTTCCATTGGCTGTTAAAACCACGATCTGAATTTAAACTAGGTGCGTAACGTTACAGAAAGTAATCAAAAATAAATTGTTGTTGAATTTTTTTCTATGATGTTAGAATATATTTCAAATTAATATTTCGAAGAGTAATAAAAAGAAATTGAAAAACAAAAGTTTCAGCAAAAAATTAATAAATGCCTTATTGTCGTATTTTTTTTTAAATCCAATCTTGATGAGAATAATAATCAATATGCTTTTGTTCTTCTTGTCGTTTTGATGCTATAACTTGCTTATAAACTTGTAATTCATGTCGAAGTCTTTTTAATTGATCAACTTCAAGATCTTGTTTTGATTGATTATTTTTTTCTGATATCTTTTTTTGTTTAAGCAGATGAAAATTTCTTTTATATTCTTCAAGATGAGCATTTATTTTTGTTAAATGTTGTTTTAATTTTAAATTTTCTTCTTGATATTGACGATTAACTAAAGTAGCTGAACGATATTCTTCAGTTAATTTTCGGTTTTCATCATAAACACGTAATAAATGTTGATGTTCATTATGAAGAAGATTTTTATAACGAATACATTCTTGACACAATGCTTGTCGTTGAGAAGTTCTGCTTTGTTGAAAATAATTTTTTTTATCTGTAGGCAAATATTCAGATTTTGGTAGTGGTGGAACTTCATGTGTCGTAAATGTAAAACTACGTTTACGATACAATTTTTGAGGAGATGATGAAATAAATACTTCTATTTAAAAGAAAAGTGATATATAAAAACAAAAATGAAACAAAACTAATCTTACCATTATCGTTATCAGTATTATCTGATATAGTTAATTCATTTGATGAACGACTAAGTGAAGTTCGTTGATGATATTTTATTTTATTTTTAACATGATTCGAAAGTTGAATAGTTTCCTGAAGATTTTGCATTTCATATCAATTTTTAGAGACTTTGATTATGCTTGTCTCTTATTTTGAATTAGTTAAAAGAAGAAAAAGAAAATAGAAAATTAATATTTTCTGGTGTTGTTTTGCTTCTTTGGTAATGAAAGAAATATTTAAATCTATTTTTTTGTTGTTGTCTTTCTCTTCTTTTTTCCTGTGTTTTCTTGGTTACACTACTGTCATTACATTTTGTAGACGACACGTATATATGAAACAAGAGAACTAGTCATCTGTTTGTTCATAATATTTGAGTACTCTTTTATTTTATAATTACAGTAGTCATCATATGAAATTCAATATGAACTAAATAAGAAAAAAACAAGAATAAATATTTAGAAATAATTTCAGTGTTTTTTACGAAAATGTTACAAAGATATATTGAATAATTATCATAGATTTACTTAAAATCTAAGTCAATAAATATTCTTTGATTAGTTTTCATTTCAAATGAATTTATTATTTCATTTGAAAACAATTTAATTATGCGCATAGATATCTATGAAATTGTAAGAGTATGTGAAAACATTCATTTTTTTTCAAATTTCAAGATTTTTGAAATATTACAAGAAAAAATGTCAATTCACTTTTATTACAGCCTTTCAATTTAGTTAATGATTTCACTTTGTATTTATGTTCGAATGGACATTATGCTTCACAAAATAAGACTTCTGTTAACTTTCAAGAACATGCATCAAATTAAAACAGCTGAAAGCAGTTTTGTTCTGTATGAATAAATAGAGTGACAAGAAACGCTCAAGCAAATAAAAAACTATTTAAATTTACAATTAAAAATGCATCAACTTATGACAGAAAAGCTTCAAGTCTTGAATTCTGTCAATCTCGATATTTATTCAAATAAATTAAATACTGTCATTTGACTAGAACTTTATTGATAGAATCATATTGACCCAGATTAATGGCAGAGTACTCCAATCCGTCGATCCGTTATTTGTATCCATGTATAAGTGCGGGAAGTATAGTTTAGGGTAAGGATCGAGTACGGTAAGGTACGGTTTTGAACAATAACAATTTTTGGAAGTATCAAGTTCATTTTGAACAGTACAATTCAAAAACAAATGCAGATATATGTTTTTATGTTGCTGTTTAATAGTGATATCCTTGATCACATAGTTGATTGGTTGCTTTGTTAAACTATCAGTGATATGTTAGAGCAATGCAAACCACACGTTGAGTATCCGTACCCCTATATGTGTAGAAATACGGGTATGAAAAGTTGTACTCATGTAGTACTTTAGTTGATGATTCTGTTGCCAGATTCCGTAGATTTTTAGCCGGAATCGAACGTAATTGATATTGTTTCAGACTGAAAAAACCTTAGAAAAACGATAAGAAGTTGGAAATAGATATACGATGATTGGCACTGCCCAATGTCGGATGACTTCCTGGTAGAACTGCAAAATTCTGGTTAACGAATAAGTCCATTAGATGCTGACTTTCAATATCCTACTATTTTTCGGTGTAGTCCGGCCGTACGTCATTAATTTAAATAGTAATTGAATTTGAAAGTTATATTCTCATTCTTGGCTAAGGACATATCAGCACTTATATAAATTTAAATGTTTTCGCGAAACGATACCACTATTCATAAGTGACATCTATTGAATACGTTTTAATAATTGTATCTATTTACAATTAGAAATTATACTATAAAATTGAAAATTATAATTTACATAAATAAATATGCTTAGAAAAAAATCTCGTTCCCAAGGTTAAAGATTGGTTTATTCATTTTGAAAAATCGCGTCATGACTTGAATAAACATAGCGACACCAATCATACGATTACATAGAAATTTTCGAACGAAAAAAAAAGAAACATTTAATCCTGATCTTTGGCCAACTTTGTTTTCATCATTTTAGGTATTATTTTCATATTCTTCTAATATTCTCGTGCGTGTTTCATCAAGAAAAAAATGGCTAATACACAATCTGATAAACAAGTACTCACTTTAAGTGAAGTTCAAAAATTAGCTGAAGATAAAAATAGATGTATTCTAATAATCAATAATCGAGTATATGACGTAGCAAAATTTCTTGATGAGGTTTTTTATTAAAACACGATTTTTAAGAGTTTTTAATATCAAAATTTTATTTTTAAAGCATCCAGGTGGCGAAGAAGTTTTAAAAGAACAACATGGTAAAGATGCCTCACAGGAATTTGAAGATATTCGCCATAGTTCCGATGCACGTGAACAAATGAAAGCATATGAAATAGCTGAACTTCACAAAGTAAATTAATTTATTATATATTTATATAAAATATTTCATTTTAATATCCTTTTTAGGATGATGCTCAACCAATAGTTACAGTAAGAATTGATTAAATAATTTGAAAAATTGAATAATACTTTTTTATTTAGCCTCGTCCTTTAATTGAAAATCCAAATCAAAATACTGGTGATGCTTCTAATAATGCTGGTGCATCATGGATGAAATTGGCTATTCCTATTGTGGTAGTGCTTGTAGCCATTGTTTACATAAGACTAACGGGGCATGCAAGTTGAGTCGTCAACGGACTATGAAAAGCTATTTTAATTTTTCGTTTTCTTTTCATTGTTTTCGTCGTAATTTTATTCAAATTTTTAATTTGTAATTCACTTCAAACAAAAAAGAAACACACTGATAATACGACTATAATAGAAAGTAAAGTTTTCTTAAATTACTTTAGGTTTTATTTTATAGATTTTTTGAGTTTTTTTTGCTCTTTCTGGTCATCCATCTTGTTTTATAACACGATGGTAGAAGATCAATTAACACATATTGATTCAATGACAAATATTGAATTACGTGCTGAACTTAAACGACGTGGTTGTTCGACATCAGGAAATAAAAAAGATCTTATAGCTAAGTTAAATGCTGCTTTGCAAAAAGATTCTGAACAATCATCATTAGGTCATTCAGTTGGGCATCCACAAACTGAAGAACCGGTTATAAGTACAATTTTATTGAGTGATGATCAAGTACAAGAATCGATTTATACGAAATAATGAAATTTTAATATTGATTTCCTTTTAGGCTACTAGTCAGCATCCATCTGTATACACTTTATCAATACCACAAAATGATTATCCATCTTCTGCACCAATAATACCTATTCCTCAACAATTACCTATAACATCATCTGTGGAAGATGAACAGTTTTCATCAATAAATATTCCTAAAGTAAATGATACTTCTATTGTTTCTTCAGCACCCGAAGAGAAAACACGAGCAAGTAGCAAAAGATCTTCCGTCGATTGTTCATCGAATGAAAATTCAAATACAACATCGAATCAACAAATTATAAACAATGAACAAAATGTTTTGGACGTTTCAAGCAATGACAACAATCTAGAGGTGAAACCGTTTGTGAGTAAGAGTATTGAGGAGGAGCAGAAAAATATAGAAAAGATAGGAGGAGAGTCATATTCGCCATCTGTTGGCAGTAATAGTGCCAAGTCAGAGTCTATTATTAAAGAAACCCCGTTGCCCGACGAACAACAGCGTTTAAATCAATCGAAATCAGAACAACAACAACAACAGGATAATCAATCAGTAATGATTGATGAAGAAAAAATTTCGGCAACACACGCTGTAAATGATGACACCAAGTAACAGTTTTATACAATAAATTTTTCAGTAAATTAATTTGTATTTTAAGAAATCAAAATGAGGTGATTGATAAGTCGTCAGAGACTAATTTATCTGCCGATTTAAAAGCAGCTACAACAGAACAACAACAGACTACAAAAGGTAAATATTTTATGAGTTATTAACACCAATCAGTCTTAAGCAGGTCAACATCATTGAATCGAATCTACCGAACCGTTTAACTTTAAGTAGTAATTAGATTACCGATTTTGAATGTTTAAAAAAAGCATTAAAACTTCATGAGACGACGTGCATATAAGCGCCGATCTTATGTAGATTCAAAGATCTTGCTTTCTAGTAATTCCTATTGCAAAAGTCTTGACACAACATGTTTATTTATTTTTCAGTCACCTAAACATAATTAGTAAAAATTTATGTTCTTTTCGAATATGTAGTCAGAATATTTCTTTGAGTTAGATTTGATTCGGAATGAACGAAATGCTTGACGGAGTTGAACATGATCTTTGTTCATCTTTCAGTCACTAAGAACATATAATACGAACAAAAAGTATTTTCATTAGAAGCAGTCTGATCTGTTCTGGTGTCATACCGAAAAGAAACGAAAAAATAATATTTCTACGACGAAATTACATGTTCCTCTACTGTTCACGACTTGTGTATATTGTAATTTGAAGTAATTCTAAATCCAGAGATGAAACCGGTATGGGTTACTGGTACAAGTTTCAGATCGACTGATATGCTAGTAGATCAGTTGTTACCGGTTTCTTATTCAGTTTTTTGCTCTTAATATCTCAAAGAGAATTTGTAATGAAACATTGTTGAAAGTGGACTATGTCAAATATAACTATTCACTGATGAAAGAGTACAACAAGTTGTCGGTTTCAGTGTCCGTATGGATCTCAGAGCGACCGATTCCAACTCTGTCTAAATCGACAATTAGTAGAACATACAATTGTCGATAGAACCATCTATTACAATAGGCTTAAACTCAAATGAATAAAAAGTTATAAACATTTTTTGGAGAACTACTTAGTTTTTTAAAATAACATCTTATCAAAAAATCAACTTTTAGAAATCTCCTGCTTAGAAAGCAACAGATGTCATACTTTGACTTCGAGAGAAAAAACTGAAGTAGATAGCACGGTTTGCCAAGTAAATTTCGCTCTATCTTGTATGTTTTGCATTGAATAGGTTTTAGTCAGAACAGAAAAATACATTAAATAGAATTTTGTACAAACATCATTTTCGACTTAGTCAAACATGTCATTCATTTCTAATCAATTCTGAGCAAGAGAAATATTCTGATCACATATTCGAAAAGAGCATAAAAATATGATTTTAGTTAACTACTTTCGATTATGACGAATTACATTCAGATGGTTGAAAATGTGACTGAGCATTTTGTGTCAAGACTTTTGTCACAGAAGTTAGCATAATTATTAGTTGCTTTCATTTTCATGAAATTTATAATAGAAATGACTCTATTTTAATGATATCTTTTCCATTGAATAAGACGAACCATCTTCAATTAATAAACAAGTCAAAAAAGCTGCTTCTCAACAACAAGTACAATTTAAAACTAATCATTCTCAAACGTCATCATTAATGCAAGGTCTTCATCGATCAACAAATACTAAAATCAATTTATCATCTGAAATTCTCAAAGTAAATTTATATTTTATCTAACAGAAGTAAATCTTCATCTGATACCAACTGTTTTCGCACACAACTAAGACTAATAGTTTAGATAAAAATCCTAAAAGAGTTCATTCACTTGAACTTTTTTTTTCCGAAGTTATGGTCATTTTTATTAATTGTCAGCATAATGCAGAATAGCATCAAAAAGATTGTTATATTAAAGACTTTCCGTCAGAAGTTTTCTTCAATGACAAATCTCATAGTATTTATTATACAGTGAAAGTTTCAGTTCAAAATAGATATTTCTCCTTCGCAATAGCAAGTTTTTAAAGAAACGTCATTGTCTTACAAGAGTCCTCAAAATAGCCTTTGTTTTAGGCATTTCATACCTTAAGAAAAATGCATTCATTTGGACTAAAATTTTCAGCATGTAATGAATATTATGAGATTTGCTACTAGAAAAAAATTCAGACAGAACAAGTCCTTATTACAGCTATTTCATAATATTCTTTAGTTTGCTGAAAATTTGTAAAAGTGACCATAACTTCAGAAGAAAATTCTGATGAGAAAATCATTTCAAGTGATAAATCAGCTTTGACATCTGACTGAAGCATGAAGTAGACTTCAGTAAGATCTGAGAAACTCAGAAAGGATAAGTGCTCTTAGGTCTCTCATCGAGAGTTATAGCTATTTTACTAGAACCTTAGTCTATAGGAAAATTTACACTAGCAAATCGATTGATGGTGTTTCGACTTGAAGTTTTCAGTTCAAAGGAATATTTTCTTCATGAGATATTGAGTTAGTAAAAGTTACTCATATCTCATAAATGATGCGAGAATCTCATTCTTTTTGGGAATTCCATTTCTTGTGAAGAAAACATTCTTTTGAACTGAAAATTTCAAGTCGAAATACTATCACTCAAGTTGCTGGTGCATACCGTCGTATAGACTAAGGTTTTAGTGAAATAGCAATAACTCTAAATGGAAGGTCCAAGGGCGCTTATTCTTTTGAAGTTTTTCATACCTCACTGGGATTTAAGTTGGGCTCAAAGTTAAAACTCAAAAACAATTCATCACTTAAAACGATTCTCTCATAAGTATATGCGAATCGTTTTAGGATTTTCATCTAAACTATGAGTCTTGCTTGTGTGCAAAAACAGAAGATATTAGTTGAAAATGATGTTTCATAAGAGAAAGAAAAAATATGGTTATTTTTTGTTTTATTTAATTAGACACTTATTTCTGATATAAGTCTATTACCTGAATCTGTTTTCAATGATGAACTTGATATCTTAATAAATGAAAAGAGTAATGATAATGATAATGAACAATCAGCAAATGAACTAGTACTTGAAACAAATATTAATAATGATTTTCTTCCATGCGATTCAATAACTATTGGAGACTTAGCTGATCAAAAACAACCAACAAATCGAACTGTTGTTATGAATATTTCTGTAAATATTATTTCATAATCATATTCAATTTGATTAAAATAAGCATTTTCTTTATAGATGAATTCATCATCTTTAAATGATGATATTAATGTAAGAAGAAAACAAAATTTAACATCAACAAATGTTCCTTCATTTGAATCTACAACATCAATTGATGGAAAAACTAATAGTAAGTTAATTAGTTTATTTTTATTATTAAGAAAAAAAAATGATTTAATTTTCAGTGATAATCCCAGATGAACCAGTTCGAATAAAAAATGTCACTGCCGTAAATGAACCATTAAGTCAAATTTTGTATATTCGCGGTCTTACTCGTCCATTTAGTCTTCTACATGTAAAAGAACTTCTTCGTCGTTATGGAACATTAGTAGATGGTCAATTTTGGCTTGATAAAATAAAGAGTCAATGTTTAGTTACTGTAAATATATTTACTTCATAATCAGATCATTTTTATTTTATTTTTATTTAGTATAATACAATAGAAGAAGCACAAAATGCTCGTGAAGCACTTGACGGTTGTCGATGGCCATCAACTAATCCGAAAACATTATATATTCGATTTGCTCAACAAAATGAAGTCAATTTTTTGTATTTTTTTTTTGTATTTTTCATTTTGATTTGTGTTTTTTTTTTCAGTTGGAATTTAGTAAAACTCATGATTTACCACCTGGTCAAATGTCTATTGGTAAAAACTCAAAACTTGTTATCCTACTAAATATCATTTTCGTTCTATTTTTTTCCTAGATGCAGTCGATCGTATTATACAAGACAAATCAAATATAATATCTTCACGTCGATCTACTAGTCCAATTGATAAAATCAAATCGAATACTAAGAAAAATCACTCAGATGTACGAGAATGCGATATACCAAAATTACAAGAAAAAACACAAAGTGGATTTATGATATCTAAAGAAGCAGAAGAAGAATCAAGTTAGTAATCTTTACAAAAAATGAGATATCTAAAAACAAAATGTTTCTTTTTCTAGTAAAACCAAATGAATCACCAGTGAAAGGACTTGATGAATATTTTCGTAAAACAAAATCAAAACCATCACTTTATTGGTTACCATTAACAGAAGAACAGGTATAAATTTTTAAATTTCAAAAACCATTAGATTGATGTGTTTTTTTTTTCTTGGGGGTATTTAGATTATTGAACGAAATCGTCGACAAGAACAACGTAATGCTGAACGTGATGGAGAACGTAGAAAACGAGAAACTGACAAAAATATTCAAAAATCTGATTCAGTATGACTATAAACAGTTGATTTCGTTTTGAAATTATATTTTATTATTATAGAAATCTTATTGTCGATCATCACCACCACCACAAGAAAAACGAAAGCGGAGTCCATCATCATCGAAACGAAATTCTAAACGACATTAAATCAAGCATGTAAATAGTCTAGCAGGTGTTTTCTCATGGATCAAGTATTGAATTGCACCGAGAAAAAAAAAGACGAATTTTCATTTGCCAGAGTATATCATTGATATTTGTATTGTGCTTTGTTTTTTTTTCTAAATAAGAAAATAAAAACAGAAAAAAATTCTTTTTTTTTTGTTTTGTTTCGAACCGTCATGGCTGAATAGTCACATTGTGTGACAGGTATCCACAAAGAACTATACTCAAGCCTCGGTATCAGGAGCTATGGAATGACCTGGATCAGTCACGAACGGTTGTTTTTCTCGGATCATCCGTCCCATAGTATACTAACTACGTGATGACATACAGTTGCTCTTGTGACTAGTATGTGGTTAGTTGGTGTGTATGGGGAATGCACGAACTGTGCGTCAGGCTGGACTTCTGCCCAGAGCTATAGCCAATTAGAGTTGTAGGGGAGATATTGGGCTATTGAGTCTGCAGTTAGGCAGCACCCTATATCGTAAAGTAGTTGAAATACAGAGGTATTCTTTCTTTCTTTTGTTTATTTAATAATTTTGGTACGTCGACAAATGAGACTTCCGACTATCGAGCCTTCTGTCACTTGAATCTGACATAAGAAACAAATTAAGAAAATAGTTTTATTTGAATAAGTTCACATTGACAAATCAAAAATTCAACAGTGCTCTTGTTTGCTTTAAGTATAAGTCTTTTGTTATCAAATGAAAATTCGAAATTAGTTATTGTAATTTTTCAGTAAGAAGTTCATATTTAACATGTTTGTTTAGTTTTACAAGTCCGATTTGCAATCGTTTAGTCATTATCAGATTCGTATGCTGTTCTATTGTCAAATCTTTGATAGATTCATAAATTGATGAATTTTTGCATGCTGAATTGTAACAAAAACACCGATGAACTATTGTATCCAGGAGAATACATTAGAGATTAACAGTAGTTTAATCACTCGATGTGTATATTATGAGGAGGTGAACATCTGCATCCAAAACTAAAGAAATTTCAGATAAAAAGATCAGACATAGGGTCTTGTAAGGTCAGACGAAATCATGCAAAAAATCGTAGTCTCAAAAGTCTATCACTAAATCATACTATACAATTTTTGAAAAGCATTACCATAACATAAGATTTTTTATAATCTTGTAGTGTTATCTTACCAGGTAGCAAGACCTTTTAAGAATCTTATGATACGAATTACCGATTTGTTGTACAGTTTTCGTTTGATCTTATAAGATTAAAGGTGCAATCGTGTAAAATTTTTAGCGTTTAACTGTTTAACCGGGGACGTGTAAAAGTTGAAATTCTTGACAAAAAATTACAACCGCTAATTTCGACTTTTCATTTAATAACAAGAGACTTATACTTTAAACGAGCAAGAGCTCTCTGCAGTTTTTAATGTCAGCATAAACTCATTCAAATAAAATAACTATTTTCTTATTATATTTCTTTAATTTGTTCTTTATGTCAAGCTCAAGTGTCGGGAAGCTCATCTATCGTATCATTAATAACTCTCTATGTTTGAAAATAATTTCAAGATACGAGAAAATGCGTCGTACACATGCTGATCTTATTCAATCACTTATGCGACAAAATATTATTAAAAGTGAACGAATTAAAACAGCTTTGTTAGCAACGGATAGATTAGATTTTTCTACTGATCGATTATATGAAGATGCACCACAACCAAGTAAGATTTTATCGGTTATGTATTACAATAGAAAATGAATAGTTATATTCATTTTGTTTTAGTTGGTTACAATGTAACCATATCAGCACCACATATGCATGCATATGCACTTGAAATGCTACGAGATAAACTTATTCCTGGCGCACGTGTACTTGATGTTGGATCAGGTTCGGGATATTTAACAACTTGTATAGCTCGTCTTATTCAACCAGGCGGAAAAGCAATTGGTGTTGACCATATACCAGAATTAGTTGAACAATCAAAAAAAAATATTTCAAAAAATGCTCGTTCACTACTCGATGATGGAACGTTAGAAATTGTTGTAGGTGATGGTCGTTCAGGTTATCCACAAGGTGGTCCATATGATGCGATACATGTTGGTGCGGCAGCACCAAGTCGACCAAATGCATTAATTGAACAATTAAAACCTGGTGGACGCTTAATAGTTCCTGTTGGTGTCGGAAGTCAAAAAATGATGATTTACGATAAATCAGCAGATGGTCATAAAATTCACGAACATGCAACTTTAGGTGTCAGTTATGTTCCATTAACAGATAAAGCAAAACAATGGCGACATTGATCCTCTTATATTAATTAATAACGTTTAACATTTGTAAAATTATCTATTGTAAACAAGCAAGTAATGTTTGAGAATGATTCAAAATATAATAAATAAAACTTTGACATAAACCAGCTAAAATTTTTCTTGTTGATTAATTTATCGTTATAATAAAGGGAGAACTGTCATCTTTATTTGTTTCTACTTATTTATGATTTTGACTAGCTAATGTAACTATTCGTTTTCCAGATGTAATAGTCATTAATATAGCTGTCAAAAAAAGTTTTTTTTTTTTTATGAATGACAATACTCAGAGAAAGGTAAAGTACAATGGTCTCCAGGCATCGTTAACGATATTGTTGTTAATCATTCATACCAGAAGTGCTAATGAAATTATGCTTTGTTTCAAGTAATACATATTGTCTCGTAATTGGATAGCGTAGCAATATACGTGGATGTAACAGTTATGCAAAATTTCAAGAAGTATGAATATATTCTTTTTGATACTGTCAATGATCATGAAAGAAATTTAGTATATAATTGTATTTAGATTAGAAAATTATTGTCTGATATTTCTAACAGAGAGAAAAAGATTGAAGTTTTGTGATGTTTTGATCTAATTCGATCGAAACAAAGTTCAAATTGATTAATCTTGTTCACAGTAAGATTCATTATTTGATGTCTGCTAGTTTTTTTTGCTTTTGTTTAGATCAAACGTAATTCGTCGACTCAACTTTAATTTGCATTATTTGAGAACAAATTCAAGGCTATTGTAAACATTTTGTATCGATTTCAAGTAGAAAATGTTTTGAAAACAGACCTACTGTCAATTAATTTCATCGACAAAATTCTATTCTTCTTAAATTACACAATAACTACGTTTTTGTTTTTAGGAAAGAATCTTTTTTTGTTAAAACTGTGTGAACTAAACTTAAATTGACGCAACCCTAAGATGGATCGATTAGCCTACTCTCTACTTATTAAATATGCTGCATGCAGACAATTACCAATAGCTGCCATTGATTATTTATAGTATTTCAAGGAAATTCTAAAATCTTTTCTATTATTTATGCCTCTTTGAAGTTAAACAAAAAGACAAGAATGACAGACACACTATCTAATAATGCATTTATAGCATATTTTATTTGATAAAAATTTTCTTTTAAGAAATCCTTTTTTAAGTACTTCTAGTTTTATCGAGTTTCTATTAAGTTAGATCAGATTTTTCAGTGAAAAAATAATGCATAAGTCTTAGGATTGTTGAAAAAAACAACCGGAACTTTTTCAGCATTTTTTTATCATGTAAATATTTATTGTAAAATAAAAAAATGTCAATGAAATATTCAAAGGCATAAAAATATCACGATAATATTGTAACAAAATCCGCTTGAGATTTAACGTTAAAAAAAGGAACTTAATACCTTAAGGAATTTAAAAATTTAACATTGCTAGATTTAATTTCTTAGTATAGGTTATAGTCATTTAAAAACAGTATTTAGACAATTATGATCATTTTTTATATTTACTAGCTTGCACAACAAAAGCTAAGTATGACGAGGCTAAAGCTGTTTTTCGAAATGAGCAAAACGAGATTTTCATATATCACTTTACATTCATCTGATAGCCAATGAATGAATATTTATATAGAAAAATCAAATGCTTGATGTTCTGCAAGAATCATCGGTTATAATATAGAGACAGAAAACTGTTGTAAAAAAATTAACGTAACTTGTTGTAATCGTATTAACAACTTGTATAAAAAAAATCTTTCAATCATCTAATAGTAAGTTAGAACAGCAACAAATATCTATCCCTATATGTTTTTGAGTGATTGTATGTTATAAAAAAGAAAGAAATAAAACATAAAAGTGAAAATGTCAGGAAGGACAAATGGAGATTTGTTTTTTTTTTTAGGAAAAAGAACAGTTCATTTTTTGAAGAATGCCACTATGATGAAAAAGTACTTTTTAGGTTACGGAAATAGTTCGATCTTTTTCCTTCGAGATCATTAAATCTTTTCCGGAAGAATAAAAGAAAGTAAGTCGACAAAAGAAAAATATTTTTTAATTGTGATATAATTGTTCCAAAGATATTAGATGTAAAAGCCTCAAGTATTATTTCATCTGATAGTTCATGGAGCATGTATCAAAATGATGTTCGTACTTTTCATTAAAAACGTTCTAAGTCAAAATTTGAATTTTCTTGTCGTCATATGTTTTCTATTTATTATCTACTGAGTGATAGCATCAATTGGCATCTCTTTTTAAATATATTTCTGAATCTTCACAATTCTTACTGATAAATAAAATGATTGTCTATCAGTGCGATTATTCTAATAATAAAGAGTTCCAAAAGAAAATTATATGTATGTATCATACTAAAAACGATTAGGAGAAAAATAAAGAAAACAAGTGATTGATTGTATATGTTATGTACTGTCAGTCGATTGACTACTCATTTCTTGGGGGAAGAAATTTCTAGCCGTCATCGCCGATACTCATAACATTTTCCAGATGTAATCGCCATTTCAGTTAATTGTTGCTAAAAATTTCAGTCGCTACCACCGTGACATAAAAATAGATACTAAGTTTTCGGAAAATTTTCGACATTGAGAATCAGTTTTCAGCAATGTTCTTGTCTAGTTTCTTATTATTACGTTTTCCAACCTTATTTTCTACCTTTGTCATTTCAAAACTACACAAAACTAAGAAAATTTTTTTACACAAGCATCAAAAAATTTCAACT